TTGAAAAACAACAGAGCAATGGCTTCAAAATTTTGTAGAAAAACAGTATCCAACCTAAAATTCTATATCCAGCCAAAATATTAATCAAGTATAAATATAAAATAAAGACATTTAAAGATATACACAGCCTCAAAACATTCATTTCTCATGTACTATTTCTCAGGAAGTTAACTCCACGAACAAGAGAAGGAACCAAACAAAAATCTGTGAAAATGTATCTTTAAGGGGATGCCCAAAGTGATAAGGTGGCAGATCTAGACGTTAAATCAAGATGAGGGGTTCCGGTCCAGGAGGGATACCACCAAGAATGATTGATAGACTCCCTAATGTCATTAATTATGCTAAGAGGAGTTTTCCATAGTTCTGTTAGAGTATGCGAAGCTGATTTATATAGAAAAATACAAAACTAAGCAAAGAAATAATGAGAGAGGAATTTTTAACTCCTGAAAAAAGACCTTATCATTTTCTTTTGAAAAATTTGCTGCCACATGCCCATTAGCATTTTATTCTGTGCTTCAGTCACCTGGTAAACAGAATTATAAATATCAGAACTTCAAATTTTAAAAAAAAGAAAAATCTAGAGAAAGAAGCAATCAATCATTTTAAGTAAATGCAGGCACCAGAACTGAAATATCTTTTTCTTCATAGAGCAGTTGTACTAAATTTTGCCACCTGCTGGCAAGATTCTCAAAATTTAGCCACCATATAATAATAACCTTAAGTGCTTTTTTTAAAAAGATAGGCAAATCAACTGAATGGCAGAACAACCAGTTGCTATGATGCACACTGACCACCAGGGGCAGACACTCAATGCAGGAGCTTCCTCCTGGTGGTCAGTGCACTCCCAGAGCAATAGGCCCTGATCGTCAGTCAGGCCTAGGGCCCCTACCCGTGTATGAATTTCATGCACTGGGCTTCTAGTGATATAATAAATTCAATCACTATAATTTTAGTATGCATAAATGAGAAAAAAGTCATCACTAAATAGCTTTTAAAAGATAAATAGTATAAAAGCAGAAATATAAATATATTATCTAGCTTCAAAGAACTTAAGTTTTTAATACTTAGCATTCTACCCATTTGTTTATTCAAAGTTATGTTCCATAATCAGCTAAATGTTTTTTTAAAAGAGAATAAGGTGGCCAAAACCGGTTTGGCTCAGTGGATAGAGCGTCGGCCTGCGGACTGAAGGGTCCCAGGTTCGATTCTGGTCAAGGGCATGTACCTGGGTTGTGGGCACATCCCCAGTGGGAGGTGTGCAGGAGGCAGCTGATCGATGTTTCTCTCTCATCGATGTTTCTAACTCTCTATCTCTCTCCCTTCCTCTCTGTAAGAAATCAATAAAATATATTAAAAAAAAAAAGAGAGAATAAGGTGGATAAAATAAAGGAAAATTGAGGATATTTCCAAATACTAGTTAGAGGCGAAATTATAAGCTTATCATTAGGTTAACCGTGGTATTTTTTAGTATCTCCCAAACCCCATGCCTTGTCTTTGTTTGAGAATACCGCTGAATTTTAATGCCATTGTTTTGTCAATAAACACTTCTCAAGTTCATTAGTAATCCTCTAAGAAGACAGAAATTAAAGCTTGGCAAGCAGTTTCTCATAAAACAAAATTTGCTCTGGTTTGTTAGAACTAAATGTGCCAAGTGGCAAATTAAGATGTGAGAACACACTTTAAAGGTTATGCTTTAAAAGTATTCAATGACTCAAATAGAGGTGTCATTAGGCAGCAGCAAAACAAATACTAGGATATCTATTTCATTTGCAATCTGTTAAGTTTCAGATGGACTATTTTATGATGAGCACCAAGAGCTATTAAGATAAACTTTGACCGGAGACAGATATAACACTCCCTAGATTTTCCATTAAAGAACTGGTAGGACCAGAATGGACCCAACTTCAATATTAAAAGCAACAGAAAGAGTCCAGTAATTCACAGTGAAACTGCCATTGTGCTGACAAAACTGTGTGTTGAGCATCCATGGGAATGCTGACATGTGCACTGCAAGTGATGATTGAAGAGTCAATTAAGTAGTGGGAAAGGGCTTGCAGCAAAAATTTAAACTAAAAATAATCCATTTACAGGAGAGCAGTACAGGAAAAGCTGGCTAAACTATAATCAAAGTCTGTATTTCCAGTTTCAATAGTAAACACAGTTGTTAAGAGTGGTTAACACACAAGATCGTAAGTGCAGGCAATTTCAAAGTAAAAAAACATCTGTTTTATCAATAGTATCCTTCTTATATCCTCTATTATTTTGCTCAGAGACAATGTGAGCATAAGAATAAGAGCAAGTATGATGCATGAAAGAAAGATCAATTTACCTTAGGAAATATGAGCTTTTCACATAAATTCCTAAAAGTATAAATTTTAAAGCTGTTAGATTTCTAGAACTTTACAGATCTTCTTAAGAAATAACATCAGGTGATAATGCAATCCCTCCCGCTGCTGCTTTTCTGTCCCCACCAGCTGAGGCGGCGTGCCTGTTTCCACAAGGGAGAGTGGCAAATTCAGAAAATGAAGCAACTAGACAGGCCAAAGCAGAAATGTCTTTGAGTTCATGACAAAACAAAGTCATGGTGCCGGCCAGTGAACTAGACACAGTTGAAATTTTTTCAGTTCTGGGGATAAAACTTGTTTCATTTCACCAATGCAGCAGTGTAGTCCTGTGTATTTTTCAAGGCGGTTTTGAATTGTGAGTGATGCTCTCCTCAGCTGGTGCTCCAAGAGCAGGCACACCTTTTCATCCCTAGCTCTTGAATGGCTTCCCAGTCTTCATGCAATTTTGCCAAGTGGTAAAGGGCACCGGCTCTGGAGTCATATGGCCAGGGTTGTCCCTGCTCTACAACTTACTAACAGTAATCTTGGGCAAGTCTCCATATGCTAATCTGTAAAATGTTGACTAATACATAAGGTTTTTATGACGATGAAATGAAATTATTTGAGTAGAGCACTGAGTACTGGGCCCACAAGAAATGTTCAATGAGCTATGGCTGATGTTTTTTAGTGGTTAGAGCATCGGCCTACACACTGATGTTCGATTTCCTATCAAGGACATGTAACTGGGTTGCAGGTTGGATCCCTGGCCCTGGTCGGGGCAAGTGCAGGAGGCAACCATTCCAGGTGTCTCTCTCACATCTCTCTCTCTCTCAAAATGCAATGAAAAATATATCCTCGGATGAGAACTAACAACAGGGGGAGGGGAGAGTAGAGGAGGGGAGGGGAGGGGAGGGGAGAAAGAAAAAGAAAAAGAAAAAGAAAAAGAAAAAGAAAAAGAAAAAAAGAAAAAGAAAAAGAAAAAGAAAAAGAAAAAGAAAAAGGAAAAGAAAAAGGAAGGAAGGAAGGAAGGAAGGAAGGGAGGAAGGAAGAAGGAAGGAAGGCAGGCTGGCTCAATGAATGCTAGGTATTAGCATTGTGATCATGAGTTCCATCATGGACTCTCTAAGAACCTGATTAAAGCAATCAGCCTGGGCCTAAACTGCCCCATCAGCAAGGTTCCCAATTCATTATTTGTTTACAAAGCACATCACTCTATAAAAGTGGGGGGAGGGGAGGCAGGAAGATCAGTATTTTGCTTTTCATCCTTGTTACCAGCCACTGCTGCATTATTTATATGAAGGGAAGAGGAGTGTATCTGGACAGATGCTCAACTGGCTCCTGCAAGCAGAGCATCTATCTCAACAGGCAATGCCCGTCTCAGCAGCAAACTCCTTCCCTTCCCCAGTCATGCCCCTGGACTGAGAGTGCAATGGAGACACACAGAGGCCACATATGTCAAAGTGCTATTGTCTAAGCATTCTGGCCATAGATTGTGATGAAATGAAATGATCCATCACTAAATTATTCTTTTTATTCCCAAATTATGCCCTTAAGGTATTATTAAATACCCAAAGAGACCCAAGGTATATTAGAAACCAAAGGAGAAGGGGAGGGGTAGGAGGGAGGGAGGACAGATATATTTCCAATAGGCATTCTACTATATATTTACCAAAGCAGAACTAATGAAATTATTGAAATAATACCAATTAACATAATACAGAGAGAAGAACAAATGATAGATACATGCCATCTGCTTAATTCAAGTTAGAGGGAAGATATGTCAAACAAAGAAAGGGTTCTATAAGGTCACAAGTACTGTATTCAAATAATTTTCCTAATTTCTATTTTCTCTGGACTAGTAAATGTAGGACTAACCACAGTTAATGGATTAAAAACTCACATTTTTCAAAACACTTAAATGACTAATTTAAATGATTACCATTGGGGAGAGGGGACATTTAATTGGCCAAGGAATAAGAGTTTGGGTTTTTTTTAAACAGATCATTGTGTTTCTAGTAAGCAATTTCCACCTCTACACATATTTTCATATAGAGATGCTGCTCTTTATTTACATACAGTGCCAGGTACATAGTAAGTTTTAAGAAGTAAACACTTAGGGAATGATCAATTGGTTGAAGATAACCCAGACTTGCCTGAGGCATGGAAAGTACAGGGTGAAACAGGGGGAGAGAAATTAGGAATTGGTGATTTAAGCATGAAAAAGCACTTTTCTTTCTGGTTAATAGCTTGCAGAGACTGGGAAGAGGGGGCTGAATTTGAAAATGTCCAAAAAATCTTTCTCTAAGAGCAGACTATTATTAATCTAATTCTTTAAAACAAACAAAAAATAAATTAGCAATCTTGGTCAAAGTCCATTCTACATACAGCAGCCTATATAATAAAAGCCCAGTGACCGAAATGGCAAAGCAACCAGAACGTACATGCCCCGGCCGGCCCTGCCAACCAGCGGGGACCCCTACCCCGATCCGTGGCCCCCATCAGGGCAGGCTGGCTGGCCCCTACCCATGCACCAGACCTCTATCCTATATAATAAAAGGGTAATATGCAAATTGACCCTAACGGCAAAACGACCAGAACGACCGCTCAACCAGTCACTATGAGGTGCACTGACCACCTCTAGGTCCCTTTTCTCAGCCAGCAGGCTCCAATCGCCCAATGGAGAATGGGGAACCGGGGGTGAGTGACGGGGGACACAGGTGGCACAAGGCCAAGGTCCCTGCCCCGTCAGTCGCCCCACACATAGAGAGTGACCCGCGGCAGGGGCAGGACAGGTGAGCGGGCGGGAACAGACGACCTCTTGGGCCCTTCCCCTGGCCATCCCATATAATAAAAGGGTAATATGCAAATTGACCCTAACAGCAGAATGACCGCTAGACCAGTCACTATGAGGCGCACTGACCACCTCTTGGTTCCTCCCTCCTGCAGGCAGGCTCCAATCACCCAATGGCAAACGGAGAACCGGGGGGTGGGGGGTGGGGGCTGGCTGCGGGCAGCCAGGAAAGATGGCCTGATCACAGGCCAGGCCTAGGGACCGTACCCCGTGCAGGAATTTCAGGTTTATGCAGGTTTCTAGATGTTTAAAGCTTTTACATTTAGACCATCCCTTTCAGATGGGTTTTAGAGTGCCTCCACACTGAGTTAATCCTACTCTTAATCCCACCTCTCTACTCCCCACATAATTTACTGCTGCAATTCTCACAGATTTAAAATTATTTTCTTATATATTGGTCTGCATTGTTACATGGAGCTATTTCAAGGCAGGAAACATGTTAGATATTGTTGTATTTCCAATTTTCCTAAATAATTTATTCACTCATTAAGGGGAACTTACTGAGCTTACCATGTGCCAGATGCTTTATTCATTCAACAAAAAATGTATTAAACAGGCACTGTTCTGAAGAATTTGGAACACATCTGTGAACAAAGTAGAAAGTCAGTCCTGGCCTCATAGATCTTATGTTCTACAGGGGGAAACAAACAATCACCAACAGATATAACACATATTAACAGCATACAGCATATCCCGAAGCAGTAAATGCTAAGACAAAGTAGAGCAAGAAAAGGATGATTAAGAGTGTGTGAGGGAAGCCTTGGTCAGTGTTGCTCAGTAGTTAGGGTGTCAGCCCACACACCAAAGGGTCTTGAGTTCTCTTCCCAGTCAAGGGCACAAACTTGGGTTGCAGGTTTGATCCCCAGTCGACAGGGACACATGCAGGAGGCAACCAATTGATTTGTCTCTCTCACGTAGATGTTTTTCTCTCTCTCCCTTCTACTCTCTCTAAAAATTTATGGTGAAAAAATATCCTCAGGTAAGGAATAAAAAAAATTTTTTTAAGAGTGTGCAAGGGGCAAAGCACCAGCTGCAATACTGACATGGGTGGTCCAAGTAGGACGCATTGAGAAAACACACTTTAGCAAACCCTAAGGAGATGAGGAGGCTAGCCAAGAGGGTGAAGTGGATCTCTGGAGAAGGGCATCACCAAGCAGAGGGAATCACCAGGGCACAGGCTGGTGCTCTGTAGCCTTTCAGGAAACAGCAAAACAGCCAGAGGGGCAGAAATAGAATTTGGGGGTAGCAGGAAAAGAGGTACTAGTAAAAAGGTCAAAGGTCAGAGACAGCCTCAGAGACCATTTATAGGGATATTCTTATAATTGTGTAATTCCAAGAGTAGACAAGAAGCACGCATCCCAGCCGGCATGGCTCAGTGGTTGAGCGTCAACCTATGAACCAGGAAGTCACAGCTCAATTCCCAGCCAGGACACATGCTCAGGTAGTGGGCTTGATCCCCAGTGTAGGGTGTGCAGGAGGCAGCAGATCAACGATTCTCTCTCATCATGGCCTGCAGGAGGCAGCCAATCAATGATTCTCATCAAATTGATGTTTCTATCTTTCTCTCCCTCTCCCTTCCTCTCTCTGAAATCAATATATATATATAATTTTTTTTTAAAAGCAACACACGTCCCAAATATGTATATTTGTACATCAAATATACCCAGGCTACTAAAATTTTAAAACAAGAATTTTAGTGTTTTTGGTTCTGGGAGTGAGAGGCGCTGAGTTTGAGTTACCTGTGTGGTGGTCAGCATGATGCCCCAGGCCAGTGATGGCGAACCTATGACACACGTGTCAGAGGTGACATGCAAACTCATTTTTTTGGTTGATTTTTCTTCGTTAAATGGCATTTAAATATATAAAATAAATATCAATAATATACATCTTTGTTCTACTATGGTTGCAAATATCAAAAAATTTCTGTATGTGACACGGCACCAGAGGTTTTTCAAAATGCTGACACGCAGAGCTCAAAAGGTTCGCCATCACTGCCCCAGGCCAAAGGGGAAGACCCAGAGGCAGAAGTTCGGTTATTTCCTGAACAGAAATGCTTTCCAAAAGGCAGCCCTGCAGATCGAGTGCTACCACATCCAACATGCCTGGGACCATACCAAATCCATGTGGCAGAACCTGGTGGAGATGGGGTTGGCCATGGACCCCAACAAGGCAGTGCCCTTCCGTAAGAGAAAGATCAAGGCCAGGGAGGTGAGCACAGAGGAGAGGTCTCAGGAGCTTGTGCAGAAGCCCTATGTGCTAAATGACCTGGAGGCAGAAGCCAGTCTCCCAGAAAAGAAAGGAAATACACTGTCTCAGGACCTCATAGCCTGGGTACGCTACATGGTGAAGAACCACGAGGAGGAATATAAGGTCACGGCCCAGGATTAGAAGCAAATTCCGAAACAAATTCCGAATAAGATCAATGTCTAAGGTGTTTTTACCCAGCAGAGTGGCAAGCCTTCGTTCATTCTTTGTAGAAGAATAAGATGGAGGTTGAGTGACTGGTTTACACCTGCCCCAGGTTGAAGCCTCTTCCTGGACCAGAGAGATGGGAGTCAGGTTTAAGGCAAGGAGGGGCACATGGCTACAGATGAGGCTGGCCAAACCCCATTCTCGGGGCCAAGGCTGCCTGATTTGGGTGACATGAGAAAGTGATGACTGCTCCATCGCAGGATCACAGACAGGATGTGGGATGGACACTGGGCATTTTCTTAGTTTGATACTTTATCCTCAGCTATTAATAATACAAAAATTCTTCTGTTCCTAAGGTTTCTCCTACAAGCACCTAAAATGTCTCTTCTCTGCTCTTGAAAAGAAGGGTTGTGTTTTTACATACACCATTTCACATTTTAAAAAGGGAGCTCCAGCCGAAACCGGTTTGGCTCAGTGGATAGAGTGTTGGCCTGCGGACTGGGGGGTCCTGGGTTCGATTCCGGTCAAGAGCATGTGCCTGGGTTGCGGGCACATCCCCAGTGGGAGATGTGCAGGAGGCAGCTGGTCGATGTTTCTCTCTCATCGATGTTTCTGGCTCTCTATCTCTCTCCCTTCCTCTCGGTAATAAATCAATAAAATATATTTTTAAATAAATAAATAAATAAATAAATAAAAGGGAGCTCCAGTATTTCTCCTGCACCCCAGTGGATCATCCTGCGTCCCAGTGGATCATCCTGCGCATGCGCTCTTGGAGAAGCAGCACCCCCCTTTGAAGACCACTGCTCTATGCAGTCATCGCTTAGAAGGTTAACACTGTATTCTCCTAACAGTGGGGAGCCGTGCAGAGGGTCTGCTTTCCTAAGGCCATCAACACAGCCTGAGACTTCGCTGCAGGACTTACAGAAGGTCCCAGGATGTGAGAGGACTGGCCGGGAAAGGTCTCCCTACCCACCCACCCAAGAGATTCTTAAAACCTCTTCGCTGGAATAGAAGAGAGGCACCTGACCTTAGCCAACGGTATTTGGCAACTTGGTCCCACACTTGCCTTCTTTCTGCTAGAAGAGCTGCTGACCTCTTCTGGGAATTTTAATTACATTCTGGCAAATACATTGTCCTTTCTGACTGCCTAAACAGTCAGAAATGGGTCTCTAGGTGCCACTTACTAGTAATATCAAAACTAAAAGCTAAATCATCTTATTAATGCAGAAACCTCATTTCTGTCTTAATAGCATGACATGGAGCTGGACAGTCATGGCTAAATGATCATAAACAGCTCTATTTCTCACATGGAGTAATTTACTTGTATAAATACATTTTTATAAATGTACTAGAGGGCCGGTGCACAAAATCAGTGCACTGGGGTGGGGGGCGGGGGGGAAGAGAATCACTCAGCACGGCCTGTGCTCTCTCACAGTCTGGGACCCCCTCGGGGGATGTCCGCTTAGGCCCATTCCCCACGGGGAGCAGACCTAAGCTGGCAGGCGGACATCCCTTGCTCCTTACAGCTCATCTGCTCACTGCTCTTTATTGCTCTGCTCGCTGCTCCTTAGCGCTGCCACGGATGTGGGAGAGGCTCCCACCACCACCACTGTGCTTGCCAGCTGTGAGCCCGGCTTCTGGTTGAGCAGCCCGCCCCCTGTCAAAGTGCACTGACCACCAGGGGGCAGCTCCGGCGTTGAGTGTCTGTCCCTCGGTGGTCAGCGTGCACCACAGTGACTGGTCGTTCCACCATAACCATCACTTAGGCTTTTATTATATAGATTGTTTTAAGTTTATTTCTGTTGTATTCATTTTTAGTTACCTTCTACTTATGGCTTTTTTATTTTAGTGGTGATATAAGGTTTCATTTTAAAGCAAATATGTTTCAGTGCAAAAAGTTAAGACTTTTAAAATACTAAACGACAGTGCCTGTGGTATGTATACAGGTAGCAAAAGCCATGAGGATGTACAGAGTGAATGACTGATGTTAAGAGAACAATGCTGTGATGGAAAGCTCTAAGGTGTGGAGGATGCAGTACAAGCCATCCACCTTAGTTCCTGTCTATACCCCTAGCCACTGAGCCTGGCACAAAGTACTCCACAAATAGTTGAATAAATGGAAGTGGTGAAACCAGAATTTGAGCTTGTGTCTCTCTGGCCCAAGTGCACTCCTAGCCTTTCTTGGCTGCCAAGAGCTGTGAAGTGTTTTTACAATTTAGAAAGCTCCTCAGGTGACTCTACTGTGTCACCAGGAGTACACACACCTATACTGGAAACACTGCCTTCCTAATTGCACAAGCAATCACAGTCCAGAGTGGCCAGTGTTATGCTGGGCAAGTACAGTCCCGTAAGCTAGTCTGAAGACCACTGGAACAATTAACTGAGACTTGAAAGAATGAAAATCAATTAGCTAAGTGTATATTCTAGGAAGAGGGGACTGGGGTGCAAAGGCCCAGAGATAAGGGAATGCAGGATACATTTAAAAATTCACATTCGTCCTAGCTCTCCCACTTACGGTGATCAACTGTCCTTATTTTCCAGGACTGAAATGGTTCCCAGGACATAGGAATTCCCATTTTAAAACCAAGGAAGTCCCAGGGACGCACTGGTCACCCTACCACTCCACTCCTGCTAGTGGGGAACCGTATTTACTCGTCAGGTGGACGATCACTCTGCTTTAAAATGGCACCTGTTTTTCTAAGCTAGGATTCCTAAGACATGACACAATAAGGCCCCTATCATCCTGCATCCTCCCTTCTTCCCACATGTGTGCTGCAAGCCCCATCAAAAGGCTTTAAGCAAAGCAGAGAGAACTGGACTTAATTTTATAAGGTCACCTTTGCTATTAAGTGTGGACAACAGACTGGAGGAGAGCATAAGTGGAAGCAACTAAGGTGGTTTTGAATCTAACGCAACATTTCCTTCCGTAACTGATTCTGGGAGCCTGTTATCGGCTGCATGAAGCACTGAGGATGATAAGATCAAGAGAGATTGAGGAAGCAGAATCAACAGGACTAGGTGATGATGAAAGGGAGGGAGGGAAGAGAGGGTAAATCAGGAAAAGAAGAAAAAAAATGACTACTTTTTAGTGGAATTATAAAAACACTGGCTCAATATGTTCCAAAAGTTCACTGTGGATTCATGATTAAACATTCACATTTCCACACTGTGAGAGTAAACAAGTAATCTTTTCTGCCAAAGAACGGAGTGTAGGCAGCTACCATTTTGGCTCCAGTGACCGCCATTTGGAAACAGCAAAGGTCAACCCCTTCCTTTAAATTAGCCAGTCATGCAAGAGTGTGAGCCTAAGTTCTGTGACCAATCAAGAGTGAAAGACAAAAACAGTAAGTTACAGAGAAGAAAATATAAGTTACAAACTTATGGATATTGGTCATAAAACATTTTATGAACTTGGCCCCAAAGGTAAAGGAAGTAAAGGTAAAAATAAGTGAATGGGACTATATCAAACTAAAAAGCTTCTGCACAGCAACAGAAACGGACAACAAAACAAAGAGGCAACCAACCATATGGGAGATGATATTTGAGAACAGTAGCTCCAACAAAGGCTTAATTTCCAAAATCTGTAAAGAACTCATAAAACTCAACAGCAAACAAACAAACAACCCAATCCAACAGTGGGCAGAGGACCTGAAAATACACCTCTCCCAAGAATACATACAACCAGCGAGTAGATATATAAAAAGATGTCCAGCCTCACTAGAAATTAGGGAAATGCAAATACAAACGACAATGAGATACAACCTCACACCTGTTGGAGTGGCCATTATCAACAAGATTAGCAATAACAAGTGTTGGAGAGGATGTGGAAAAAAGAGACCCTCATTCACTCCTGGCGGGAATGTGGATGGTACAACCACTATGGAAAGCAGTCTGGTGATTCCTCAAAAAATTAAGAATAGAGCTACCATATCACCTAGCAATCCTTCTCCTGGGTATATACCAGAAAAACTCAAAATCATGTATTTGCAAAGATATATGCACCGTTCACTGCATCATTATTCATGGTGGCTGAGACATGGAAACAACCGAAGTGACCTGTGATGGAGGACTGGATAAAGAAGAAGTGGTACATTACACAATGGAATAGTACTCAACCATAAGAAAGGATAATATAGTGCCATTTGCAACAACATGGATGGACCTTGAGAACATTATTCTAAGTGAAATAAGTCAGTCAGAAAAAGCTAAGAACCATATGATTTCACTCATATGTGGGATATAAAACTGAAACTCGTGAACACAAACAGCAGTGCAATGGTTAATGGGTGTGCTCCCAGACCATGTGCATGCGCGCCCTCCTGCAGGGTAAAGATATTGCCTTGCTGTCTGGCTCCCGAGTATGCTTTGTGTTTCTACCAGGACCCCTGATTTTGGGGGCTCGCCTTATTTCTATCAACATTAACAATATAAAAACTAGTTATATTTCCAGGCTATGTCACTAACGTACTAAAATCCATTAAGTGGTTGACATACATTTTCCAATGAAAAGTTGTATAAATAATATTGCTGAATATCTATAAAAAATTTTTTTCTTTTTTTAAAATATATTTTATTGATTTTTTTACAGAGAGGAAGGCAGAAATATATTTTTAGAGGGTTAGAAACATCGATGAGAGAGAGACATCAATTCAGCTGCTTTCTGCACACTCCCTACTGGGAATGTGCCCGCAACCAAAGTACATGCCTTGACCGGAATCGAACCTGGGACCCTTCAGTCCACAGGCCGACACTCTATCCACTGAGCCAAACAGGTCAGGGCTCTATAAAAGTCTTGAAAGGAATTAAAAAGCATTTTCTATTTATTTTAAATGTTGGTACTTAAGGCAAAAAAACCATTTAATTGATTAAGGATGAGATATTACAGAGGCTTAAATGGGTCTTCTGGGTATTTTCAAGGGCTGTGAAGAAGTTCATTCTGATATTTGCTTTTACTTTTAAAATCTACAGCCGCTCTCTTCCTTAGTGCAGGTACTACTAGCTCCACTTTCTATACCTAACCAGCCATAATCAGGGTCAGTTTTGGAGAGAAATATTCTCCTGAGACAACCAAGGAGGAACTGAAAGAGAAAGCAGAAAAGATGGACATTAAGTCTAGCCTGAGGAGGAATGAGCTGGATAAGAAAAGAATGAGGGCAAGAGAGTTAGTGTGTCAAGCCCAATATGGGTCAAAGAAAGGGAGTAGGGGGAAGCCAATTATCCCTGGCAGTTTGTTCTGAGACATAGCTGAGGACAGAGGTGACAGAAGGGGCATGACAAAAGACATCATTAGTCAATTGTGTACAGCTCAGAGGGAAAGAATGGGAGACCAGCAAAGACTAAGGCCCTTACTTAAGTCTCAACAA